GGGAGAGGAGGAGAGGGAGTGTGTGGGAGAGAGAGAGAGAGAGAGAGAGAGAGAGAGAGAGAGAGAGAGAGAAAGAAGAGAAAAGATCTAAGTGCAGGGAAGGAAACAGGCAAGAGGGAACAAGAAAAAAAAAGAGGGAAAGTTGGACACTTTACTATGGGAGGCCTTAAACTGTGGAACAGACTCATTTATCAAGTTATAAAGTTAAGCGAAAGAAGAAAAAACACACAATCGTCTGCTACATAAGCACTTGGAAACTTTTAAGCAAAACAGATTTTGTCCTCATTTCTTTCACATCTGTTAGCTCTCCATGACAGTCATACTAATTTGTTAGCTCTAACCAGTCCACAGCTGCAAACTTTGTTTCTCAGTGCGTTCCCCCCAGGATAACCTTTGACAACAACACATCAATAAATGTGTTGGACTATTTGGCATGAAAATCAGTTGATTAAGTAAAAATGATTCTACTTTTTGATGATAAACTGACTAACTGCAGCATCGTCTTGAAGAGGTGAGACACCTAACCCCACTCAGTCCCCACTTAGGTGAAGATTCTGGTTTATATTGTTAGTTTCAGTAGAAACCTGTCTGGTCTAACTACTGTTTGAATGTGCTTAATTTATTCTTCAGTTATATATATAAATAAAACACAGCATAAATATTCAGCTCAAAGCTACTGCAGGTTTAACCACTCTGTTCATATTTTGTTGCTGTTTCACATTGAACTGACACAACAAAAACCACAAAACGTCTTGGGTTTACTTTTAACAACCAGTGGATGATGCCTGTGTCTTGTGGAAAAGGTTTTAATCAAGTCAGTGGATGGTGATTATATATGTATAAAACACAACAACTGCTCAGCTGGATGGACAGGCGTTCACACTGTGTTCACTCCACCCCCAGCATTTATGAGTTTCATGCTGTATATTAGTACACAATTTCCACGTAGCGGTCAGAAATGAATAAATCTGAGACCGCAGCACTGGTCAGTCGGACTTTTTAGTCCGTGACTGCGTGGCATACATGCTGCAAAGTCTGACTACGCCACCATTCTACTTTTCTATTGGTTTGTTTTCCTTTGTGGTCACATTAAATAAACTAACTGAACATAATATGTTGAATATATTTGTGGTCAAAGTAGTAGCTATTCCTACCAATGCTCACAAGTTATATGCTGTTGTATCACAGAACACAGAATAAATAAACTGAGTAAATAATTAGCCCAGTAGATTGCAATGTTAAGCCAACGGTTTTGTTTTACTTTCTGAGGTTGAGTGATTGAGAGGCAGAGGCTACAAGAAGTTATTTTGTGGAGAGGCTGTGAAGAATAGATGGTTGTCCTTACTTAAAACTTCAGTAACAAAGTGGTGTTTGTAGGAGTGTGAGTGAGTGAGAGAGAGAGATGAGAGCGTGGCTGCAGGCTGACAGGGGTCCTGGTATAATACAGTGGTGGAGAGCAGGGGCTGATAACTATACTTATGGCCACTGGGGCTTATAGTGACAGCACATGCAGTCCCATTACTGGTCCCATGCCTCATGCCCCTATCTCTGGCAGGCTGCCACTGAGAGGCCACACTGCCCTCTGCTGTTGATTTAGAGGAAGTCCAGGCTCATTGAGAATTCAACCAAGCGCTTTTAGCAATGACTCAGGGGAGAAACTTCAGTGGGATTTGACAGCGGTGTTCCTATTTGAATTTTAGCAATGATAAAACAAAACTAATTTGCAGCTGTAACCAATGGAATTAACTGTATCTTAAAAATAAAAAAAGTCCGTTTTTCCACCTAAGTACTGACTGTTTGTCAAACAAAATAATAAAATCATTACTTACCAGGTAAAACTTACTAATTAATAGTCTATCAATTTGACTCAAAATACTTCCTCTCATGTGTTTTCAGTGCTGAGTATACGAGGTGTGCAGGAGGAGGACCCTCCAGATCCTCAGATCATGAGGTTGGACAACATGCTGTTAGCAGAAGGCGTTTCAGGACCAGAGAAGGGAGGAGGATCGGCAGCGGCCGGGGGGGCGCGCGGGGGGGG